ACACAATGTCTAGGGAATGGCCAGCAGTTATTGGGATCATAGAGTTTTCACGGGCAATGTGGCTTTACTGTCTGCAAACTTCGTATGACATAGAATCCGATGTAGTAGAAATCTTTGACCAGATATTGCCGCGAATGTATATAACCGCATCACGAGCTAGGGCTTATTGTTCTATCATACTCATTATACGAGATACAAATGGGTACATCAATTATGTCAAGAAAAATCATTCTTTTAAAAAGAATACATCCTATACTCGCACTGCTCAAGAACGGCGCTTATTAAAAGGGACAGACTTTACTTATTTAGTGCCACCAGCGTCTAACCCTAATTTGCAGATAATGGTATCTGACTTACACTCTCAAAAGAAGTCTGACGACAATGAAAGATATAAAGAAATAGAGTATAGTTCGAAGGCAATATGGGATTGTGTTTTGTTTGAGACTCGTAAAGCATTCAGTGACCACGCATCAGTAATACAACTCGACATCAGTAGAAATGCATGAACATCTACCTCCTCACTAACACTTGTGTGAGCTTGGAGAAGTTTCATTACAGGGCGGTGCCACTTGCCAGGCTATTCCATGAGTCGAAGCTTCGAAGTTGGTTTTTTAGATATTATTGTAAAATTGATTTTTTAGTAAATTTGGTTTCAGTATTGTTTTTTTTTGTTTTTATCCTTTTTAGAAAAAAGTTATCCTGCTCTTGATTTTCTATATTCAACTTCAACAATCATTATTATTTTCTTACTCGATCACTAGGCAAACATAAAAAAGCTACTTTATAATGGTATCTTTACGTGAAGCGTCTAAATGAAGTTAAACTGTGGTCACGTGACTGTACGCCTTGCACGTGGTTTGCAAACGTTCATGCGACTCAACTATGATTGATTGACATTTCGCACTCATATCTACTTAAGTATATTTTATATGTTAACCCCTCGTGTGAGCACTCGGACCTGTCTATTGTCTAATGTCCATTCCAGATAGATACAATTATAAACTCCCTTGCTCGGATATGTCACTCAGTCACTGTATTGATACACTGAACACTGGACTGACAACAGACCATGCTATAGACTCCCTTGCTCGAATGAGAGCTCCCTACTTTTTCTTAATATGCGCCCATTAAACCGTTATCTAACCGTCCTTGGCTCAAGCTTTATTTTTAGATCCAATAGCAGTTTATATAACTTCGCTCTCTGTAATAACGTTTAATGTCTGTCTTACTAGTAAAGTATAGCCGCCCTTCACGACAGCCGCTTTTAGTTTTACATCAAGTGGCTGCTTTCTAGCGGCTTACTCTACTCAGTTTTTAACAATAAGTGGCTGCTATAAAGCGGCTTACTCAGGTTATATCACAAATGTCACATGGTGTGAGTACAGGCGGTATGCCGTATCTTAACCCGGATGTAGCCGTTATGTAACTAGCGTTGTCTGCACACCGTGTGTTACACTAGGCTGTCTACAGTAGTATTGTACTATCTTTATTGGTCTTATTATCACACTGTATAGTGCTGTGTCTTCAGCTTAGTGCGCTGATTGGTTTACTTTTGTTGATTAGAATTACTATTTACTTGCGAGATATATCATATTGGAACAGAATTCCGCGGTGGATGGCCGCGTTTATATTTTGGGTGTGTTTTACAGAGCTGTATAGAAATTGGAGATGTGTGATTAACATAATAAAGCTCGATATATTGTACAGTGTATCGTAGATAGATTAGCAACATAACGTTTATGAAATATGTATTAAGTTATATGAATATTAAATATGAATTAGACATACACACAGGCGTGCCTCTGCTGACTTTAATAAGATATTTAAACCAAGTGTAAGAATTTAATATACTGTGAGACCGTACCTCTGATTTATTAATGCAATTTTGATCAGATTCTTTATATTAGTTAGCCATTTATCGCAGCCATTTATTTTGATATCGCAGACCTTTTCAAGTACAAGTAAGTAGATAATTACAAACTCCCGATCTAGCGTCATCTGCCCACTCCACCTCATTTATCAGCTGAAACTTTTGCAGTCCTCTGTAATACAATCTTTCCGTAGCTTACTGTTTAGACTTATTTAAAGTAAGACACCCTGTAACTCATTTTCACGGAGTCCCCTCTACAGTATCTTACGAGCCAGTAAAACTGTAAGTCAGAGTGTTACAGGTTATGGCGCCACGGGTCTATCATGATTACAGTGGGCACCGTGTCCTTCTACAGAGGAGCACCATCTTAATATGGCATAACCGGCCTGCAAATCTCCCACGAACAACATACCTTTAACTAACTTTCTGCAAAGCGTCATCTTGTGGGTTGAAGGACAATGTGAACGTTTGAACTTGTTAGTATCGAGTCGAACTGATTGTGCTTTGAACGTGTGTGTCGTGTGTAGAAAAATCGCTGTTAAGGTTGGTTCATGTGGATTGTGGTTATGGAGGCGGTAATAAAACTCATGGTAGATGTATTCGACCTGGTGTGGCTTTGAATAAATTTACTTTGCTTCTTTGTCATGGTTATTTCTTGCAGGTGAGTGCAGTTGATCGTGAGTACTTGATATTTTCGTTGGTTTATTTTATGCAGTTATAGACCATTTACTCTTGGAGGGGGATTATTTAAAACATATAAGTGATACGAAAAGTTTGTTTTAGCAGGAACTTTCAAAATACATGTGGAAATCGTCGTAAATATATGTCATTAAATCCAAGCAAACATTCTAGAAGACTTCTATAATTATAGTCAATAGTGTCCCCTAGACCGTAGGAAATGTAAAAATCTTAAGACGATTAGGCCTGAGTAAGTCGTAAATTCTGATTGGAGAATGCAGATTGCTGTTGTGAAGTTACCAAATTTACGTGAGTACTTGATTCTTTTCAATCCCAGTTTATTGCTGTCCTACAAATTTCTTTAATGCCAAATGTCGTCTAAAACACCCTGTTTCGCAAAAAATTTCCGGGGGGCTGCGCCCCCCTAGCCCCCGCCAAGGGGCTCCGCCCCTGGACCCCGCTGGGGGCTGCGCCCCCAGACCCCTGCCACAGCTTGCTTGCTTCGCTCGCTGCGCAGCATGATTGGACGCGTCGGCTCGCTTCGCTCGCCGACAGCCCCCCCTCAAAGAAAAATCCTGGCTACGTCCCTGGTATAGATTAATACTAATTATCTTATCACGTTATCAGTTTGCTGAACCTTAGATACAGATAAAGAGCTCGTTAGTCTTTTAAAAAAACTGCAGTAGTACAATATCATATTATTTCTGATCTATTTTAGGGTGATTTATTTTGTACACTGATTAGTGATTGTCTCGAAGAAGTTTTAGTGCTTATCTTTTAGTTTGTTTATTTTATATCACGGTTTATTCAACCCATTATTACCGACTATTCATAGTAAACAACAGCTCGGCATTATGTCTATTTTTAGAAAATATACGGTCAGTACAACATAATGCCGAATTTAGCTATCATTATATTATGTACCTTCGTTATCACCTGTATGTATATCCCTGATGTTAATTGTTAATTGTTAATTGTTAATTGTTAATTGTTAATTGTTAATTGTTAATTGTTAAGTGTTAATTGTGTGCCAATTATCCTATTGAACTGATTGTGTTGAAGAATGATGACAGATCATGGATGAATACTTTCTGAAAAACGTTGGAATCGTAAGTTTTCATTTAAACCATTTCTTGCGTTTCATTATTCATTTTTTTGACGGTTTTAGCTTTTGTCTTTGTATTATCATAAGGATGTTATTCTATTCACAATATAAAATGTCGATTAGTTCTAAATTTACTAATAACTATGTTGTAAGATTCTTCATGTACTCAAGTAGGAGAGCCTAGTTGAGTATCCCAGATCACTGATCATCCTATTTTTGGAATCCCGGTACCAGTAAAATCCGGCAATTTGACTGGGACCAATCTGGAATTATTTTTAACAATTTTGTATAAGTCTTACCAGCCACTCAGCAATATTTTAGATTGTACATACTTCCTTATCTGTGTTGTACTAAAACTCTTTGAAATGATTTGAGTTTAATTTATTTCTTATCTTAACCTGATTAAATCTTTCATTTTGTCACCTGTTAACTAAAGTATCGTCCCGAAAAGAGAAGCAGATGTGGCAAACCAAAAATAGTAATCAAGTCCTTATCAAACAATTCGTAGGCTATGTAAGCAGTAAGCACGACCATGTTGAGTTTGATAGAACGGCCAAACCGGAGATATTGCTCTATTTGCATCCAGGTATCTCTATGCCCCTCGGACAAGCGCTTTCTGTTGTGTGCAGTTTCCTAGCGCTTTCTAATGTGCGCAGTTTCCTAGCGCTTTCTGCTGTGCGCAGTTTCCTAGCGCTCTCTGTTTTGTGCAGTATCCTAGCGCTTACTGCTGTGCGCAGTTTCCTAGCGCTAACTGATTAATGCAGTTGACTCCATGTGCTAAGCGAGGTATTATCTACAATAGTTACTAAGTTACTCTAGTTACTGTACAGTGTACACCAAACCATTCCTGAGGGAAACAGTTTTTATCGAGACAAAGTGCATTTGACTGTTTTTCAACGATTAATTCAGCGCATTTCAAAAAGGATCTATCGCTGATCAGCTGCAAGTTTATTCATTGCTTCACTGTGCTGAGCTGCATTATTGGACTAGGAATAACGTAATATTTTCCTCGACCTAAACTCCAATTTCCGACTTTACGTGCAACTTGCACGGTGCAAGTTATTCAGTTTACGTGCAAGTTATGAGACGAGGGCAGCAAAATATTCTAAAAATTTCATTCACATCGCTTTTTGAAGATTTCCTACCCTACACAATACACATCTTCACAACATAATACTAAGGACATCTTATTGAACAGAAAGCTGACCTAGTCGCTGATAAGTTTAAATATATCTGATAGTTGTGCTCTTACGACCATGATATGCACCTAAATGATAATTTAATAAACATATCCATCACAGTTAGCATTACATAGTGATATAACATGTGATCACCCAGCAATCTCAGTGCAAGAGGAACAGATCACGAGCAGAGTCCGAGGATAAGCCAGGACGACCAGGGTCGGAGGAGGATGGCAAGTTCACTTTGCTGGTAGAGAAGTCAGAGAAGAGCAATGAGTTTGGGGTGACCATCAAGGAAACTGACACCAACTACCCCATCATTACTGCCGTACAAAAAGGTAAACTTGAGCGGGTAATTTCAATTCTGTATCCGAAATAGCTCGATTGTATCTTAAACTCCATAAGATTGCTGCCTCAGTCAAACACAAATTTTTATATTTGTGTAACATACAATGTAATGATCTGAAAAGTCTCTTAGTCTCTAAATATCTAGTGCCTAATTTTAACGTGGCGTTACTGCATACATAGACCCTAGTCAGCTGGTTCTAAATTAATTAATTAATTAATTAATTATCCCGCCTGTTTCAGACTCGTACGCACACAAATCAGGGTTATCAATCGGAGACTATGTGATCACGATAAACGGTATCAATACTGGTAATATGAGTCTGCTGGAAATCAACGACAAAATCAAATCTGTGAGTTTATGATACATATTGGAATTTGGAAATGTTAATTGTTTTTCAGATCACTGAACTATTTCCAAACGAAATCAAGGTATAGCCTTTGGACTGGAAACTTCCACCGTTCTCGAATTGCTCCATACTGTACTTCGAAATATTGGTCACTCAATCTGAGCTCTCTGACCAAACCATTGCAGGTTTTCACAGAAGGACACGTTTACTTAGGAATTTGTAGGCTTCCTCCGAACGAAACTCTCACTCAAAAACATAAAGGTAACTTTAACAAAGTTTTAAAGCTGTTTTTGTACATTCCTTGCTGTTATTTTATAGGAACCAGAATTACGAGCGATATCAGAATAATCCGCAAGACATAGAAATGATCGAAAAGTCTCTTAAAAAAAACAAGCTAAAAAATTAAAAACTCATGTTGAGTTTAATGCCAAATTTAAATCTCTCAAGGTTTGTTTGAATTAAACTGAAATAAATTAATTTAAATTGTCTTAATGGTACAGCTTAGCTTCCCAAGCAAAAATTCTGATGAAATCAAGAAAAATGCGGTATAGCATGGAACCAAGAAATAAGAACTAATATCCAACTAAAAAAACAAATTTCAATTCCATCTTCACTTGTCTTGGTTTTCTTTGCGCTGGTTTGTAACTCTATTTTCCAACTTTGCCTTTACCGTTAGCGAAACACTGATTGAAAGCTTGTCTAATTTCCTCCTTCTTCCCGACAAAGTGAGAGTGTTGCTGTCTCACCCCTCGGACACATTCAGCCAAGGACCAGTCCCTGTTGCAGGCCTCTGCGGAGAATTCACCATTCAGAGACCAGAAGTGCGCAGAGGGATATGTCACGGACTTGAGCTTGATGGTGCTCCTCTTGGTGAAAGTTGATCCGTCCGGGCACTCCATGTGCATGTCAGCGGGTATGTTAGAGTTGTCAATTGTGTACCGGTCAACTGATCCGAAGACTATAGCTGCTCCGGGAGTGTTGAAGGTAATGCTCAATCCAACTAATTTCTCGTTACCTTTAGAGAAGCTCTTAGAGTTTGTGGTGGTGATGGAGTGAGCTCCCCCCACACCTACGGACACCCCAGCTGTCACAGATCCTCCAGATCCCAGGATTTTAGCGGACGCCTCAACCTCCACAGAAACAGAAAGACTCCAGTTGATCTCGTCACTCTTTGAGATCTCAAAAGTGGACGACTCTTCGACTGAGTCTGCACTGGAGAGAGTCAGTTCATGCGACGCGCGACCATAACAGGAACCACTATCCTGAGACCCGATTATCTCCGTATTTTCGTACTTTGGTTCCATCTGTCCGTTGTCGATAACAGTCACCTTCTTCAGCGTGCAGGTCTTGCGATAGGTTTCGCATATTGGCTTTAGGGAAGTCACTCGGTCGTTGTTGATGTTGATGCTTTGACCTTGTCTGACAACCTCTCTCAGTCCCTCATAACTTGCGTGCTCGTACAACTCCCAATCACCTTTTGCAGCATAAACAGATGTAATGATATCGTTCCAGTCGTCTCCGACGTAGTCAGAGTCCACCAAGAACTCCTTCTGTGCCCCTTGTGAGTTGTGGTGCTCGTATACCACCAGTTTAGCTGCGTCTGGATTGCTAGCGTAGGCACAAATTGGACGAGCGGAAGAGTACGCGTCGTTGTGGTAGACGTTGATGGAGTGTCCATTGGGTACCACCATCCTGCTACCTTGGTAGTCATTATCAGTGTAGAGTTCCCAGGAACCACCTCTCGCAGTCACGCTAGAGGCAGCATCGTTCCAGTGGAATGCCCCGAAGTCGGGCTCTGCTCCGTGGAGGGTTCGTGAGGATCCTCCGCTGTTACTGTGTTCGTAGATAGTGAGGGTGGAACTTGCAGACCAGGTGCCAGAGATGGCCGCGAGGATGGCTAGAAAAGAAAGCATCGTGGAAATGTTTGTCAAGATGTGGTAGTGGTGAGTGAAGGAAAAATGGAGCTTGTTTTATACCTCAGGAATCAGGATGAAGGTACAGCTGCTTGAATGACAGATACAGATTTCACATCTTTGGGAAACTCCTTTGAACATCTGTGGAATATTCTGACAACATGACAAAAAATATCCTTTGTAGGTATCCGGTAGATGTTGTAACGTCACCAATGAAGCTATTTATAGCAAAAGAGTGAATGGATGGTCGCTTTATACAAAGAAGGTGCTATTGTCTTTTACGATAGCAGATGATCACAAATATACCAGTTTATGGGTATAAGTCCTGTATCAGTTTGTTATTTTTCCAGATTAATCGGAAACTCTTAGACGTTAAGAAGCGTATTATCGGAGTCTAAGATTATCACCTCTTTTTTATCACTTGATCAATGACCACTCGTCATCAGTAAGAAAATGAGCTTGGTAAGTGGCAAATAAAATAACACCTGTTAGTTCTTTGTCACGTCCAATAAATAGTTTTAAAAATTAACAGTCGTGTTCAATGCAGGATTGAGTAAAAACGTCGACTCTCGAGTTAATCCACAATTAGAACCATAGCCAAAACTGTCTAGTTTCTGGGATACGTTAACATGCTGATTTATATCGGTACTGTCTACAATAGTTTACTGAATTTAATTTGAAAATGAAACCATCCAATGCAGCAACATATATGGAGGACAATCTGTTCCAGAAGATGATTTATCATAAAGTCATAAGTATAAGATCTGTTAAGTAAAATGTTAAATATAATTAATTAATTCTAAGCGAAAAGCTCGAATAAACGTATGATGATTAGTAGACATTTCAACGGTGACAATCTGTAACCGCGGCTCTCGCTGTTCTTCTGTATCACCACGCTGACAGCGTATTGATTTAATAAACGCGTACAACTCTACACAGCGTGCCGGGCACGCTGTGTAGAGTTGTACGTGTTATTAAATCAATACACTGAAAGAGTTTCAATAGTCAAAAGCAGTCAAAGCAGAAATTATAATCAAGTTATTCTAGTGCTGTTCTCAGCGAGTTATCTGACCTGTGACGAACTGAAAAATAAGTATTTCTAAAGATCTTTGTATGTGAATCTGAGAACAGGAAATTTGGATTTAATGAATGTACCAAAGAGGAAGTGGTGTGCCATACCCTCTGTAATCGATGAAATTTTACGAAAATTTCAGGAAATTTAAGTTTGACCCATATCTATATTCTCTAAATTTTTAAAGCAATTCTTGATAACCAATTTACGTGAGTTATTAAAGGGTTGCGTGTGGGTAGTTACTTTTGGGCCACGCCCACCCTGTATTATTTTGATGTGGGTATATATTATGTATTATATATAATATGTATATATATAATATTACTTGAGAACTGACAATAACCTACTCCGAGAACAAAAGCTACGACTACACACTATTTCCTTATCCCTTATGAATCTTTCCAATATATTAACCGTGGTCAACATGTTGTGTGCCATTGTGTGCAGTGCTATTTGAGTTGCGTTACAGTAAATATTTGAGTTGCGTTACAATAAATATTTGAGTTGTTTTAATATCGTGTTGTTAGTTAAAACCTCATGAGAATATGTTAGCTTATCATAAGTTTACTAATCCTATGCTAAATTCCTGACCTTCTGTTTTCTCCTACTCTTTTGCCCTTAATATCACATTATCACTGTTTTCACTGTTTACACTTTGAACTGTACTGGTCACATGAACCTACCTTTACTACACGAGTCTTGAAACACGTTGTATGATGTATATACTCATGTTACGCACCTCAACACTTGAATCGTTCGTTATTCATGCTTCGTTTAAACATTGTTCTCAACTCTCCGCGCTCATGATATATAAACACGAAAGTTTTGATACTTTACTTTGTCTAGAGATTATTTGTTTTAGTCTGACGTAGTCACCATGGTTAAATGTATTTTTCTCCACCCAGCAATGTGCCATATGGTACCATGTCTTGTTTCTCATGTAGTGTAACTTATTATAATACTACCTTGTTACACTGCAGTTGTACCATGTGTTCATTGAGGTTGGTTGTAAATGTATAGGTTCATTGTCAATCTTACACATGTTACAACACACAAGATAAATTGACATTAGTCGTTGTTGGGGCGTTGTTGAGCTGGTTATCAATATTGTATTAGCTATTGCCGGCTATTGTGTATACTTCCTTTTTAAAGTTGAGAAGTTGTAACTATACCCTTGTAGGTAGAATACACGCTAATAATGACAGAGCCAGCTCTACTTAAATCTGATTCTGAGGGAACGCTGGAGACGAAGTACCTGCTCACTAACTCGGAAGCAGAAAAGAGTGCAGGATCTGAACACGAGGCAGAGCAGAACACTAGCACACTAGCGGAGATCTCCCCAGTGGAGAACATGCAACCCCCTCCAAGAAGACCGGATATAGATGTGATCATGATATTCCTGACTTACGGTATCTACCTGTTCCATCTGAGTGTTATCTACTTCCCTCCTAACAGGATACCGTACGGTAACAAATATCCTAACATCACGGCACTGAGGACTGGGGGTGAGGACCCGTTCACTACAGTAAATCTCTCCTATGTTGCTGAGTGGTTTGCGGGGTTCATGTACGCTTGGAACATGCCCATGTTCTTTTACCTGTCCGGACGGAACGCGTACTCTGCTCTGTTCCGGAGGACGGAGACTCTGTTCCGGGACCAGAGGGTGCACCGACTCTTGGTTCCCATGCTCTTTTTCACTCTAGTTGGTCAGCTCCCTTACAGTGTGTCCTACTTCTCTCCCCACACCCCTCCTCTCGAGATATCCTACTGGGAGTACCTTAGGGCCTATTTCATTACCTTCGATCTGCACGTAGCTTGGTTTTTATTGTACTTATTCCTATTCTCCCAGCTTATGACGTATTGGTTCACAGTGTTCCACCCGGCTCACAATAAATCAGAGAGCTCTGAGTTATCATGCTGTGGGTCCTATGTCTGTTGTTGCAGTATCCGTCCTTTCAACTATTTCACCCGAGTGTTCTGCTGTCTAAACTTCCTTTTTAGACCCACCACAACACCAGAGGGGTTTGTCTCTGCTGTCAGATGGTTCTTGGAAGGACCGATTAAGTTTGTGCTCGTACCAGGAGGAATTCTGGCACTTTTAGAAGTCTCTCACAATCTGACCCCCTTTATGACGATAATTGGACTAAAGTTTTTTGCAATATTCTTCCAGTTCACCACTACCTTTTGTTACCTTCTTATCTTTGTGCTGGGATATGCTACAGCTTCAGCGGACAAGTTCATCAAACAGGAAGGCAGGTTGTGGGGCTGGACGTGCTTCATTAGTGGTGTGATCCTGTGTGTTCTGTATGGGGTGGTGGCTGTCATTGATAAACACCCCATACAATACGGGACTAAGCTAGCTATCGTGGCGGGCTTTGCTCGAGGATTTGGACAGTGGTTGTTTATCTCAGGATCCTTATCATTGGCTAGGAGAAACTTTGCGGTGGCTAAATCCTGGCATAGCACCTTCAGGGAGATGGCCATGCCTTTCTATCTGGTCCACCAATGGGTGATAAACCCTGTTACTGCTGGAGCACTGTGGGTGCCATATCTCCGTACTTTCCCGGTCATGCTGTTAATTACTTCCGTCCTTGCTGGTGCTCTATCCTTCCTTATCACCAGGTCTGGCCCAGTGCGCTACTTCTTTGGACTCCCTCCTTCGAAGGAATCGTGTCTCCCAGGGCCACAACTAAGGGGATTTGTGCCAGTTTTGGTGCTAGCTGGGATCGTAATAGTCACTCAATTATTAGCTCATTTACTGTAAAATACTCTCTGCTCTCTGTTTGAGACCAAATATTGGAGTGGAGTTAATTGTGGCTAAGTTAACAAGACATTCCACACGGGAATTTTGTTAAGATATGTATAAGATGTACATTAAAAAGATACGTTGCAATAATTCTAAACTGTGGGTTGTGAGGACAGAGTAAATTAGAGTGAGCGATATGATATAATAATGAATTATATACCTTACTAGACATATTTATGTTCGACATAATTCCGGTGACCTAAATGATTTGGGAACGAAAATATCGGAATTGTTAAATTCGAAAACCGCCACATTTCGTACCCCAAATTAAATCATGGTATTTGGGGATTTTTTCATCTCCTTATTTTACAAAAATTAAACCCAATATTTGAGAAAATTAGATACAAAGATCTTCTCTGATCAGCTGTTTCATCTTGTAAACAATTTCTCCCGAGCCTTTGAAAGTTAGCATCAACTTAATTTATAATCATCCAGAGGGTATAGGAGACCGACAGTGTTTGTTATCTTCCACTACTCCCGAAATTTGACCGCCGTGGCCAATAAAGTAGTGATAGAGCTTGCTTATTTTTAATGGAACGTATCCAAAATCATTTTTAAAGCAATTCATGATCGAATACTTGTGTCCATTAATTTTTTGATAAATCATATTTATAACTCACTATATTGATAAGTTGATAGTAAATCGATAAAGTCATGATTAAGGAAAATACGCGAAAAATAATTTGGGGAAAATAATAATGGTGACCCAAATTTTGGTTGTCCGAAAATATGGTGTTATTTTCGAAAAACCACCGACTTTCGTACCATTTAAATTTGTCTCGTAAGGTACATCAATAAGTGTTTACCGTGTGTGATACAATCGTTTTAAAATGTCAAATAAAGTACTTTGTTCTTACATTTTTTTACTATCATACTCATAAATTGAGTATCTAGTTTTTGGAGTGTATTGTAATGCCAGCCGCTTTGGCATCGGCAATCTTTATTCTAATTTTGATTGTTGATTTAAGCGGGGTAAAAATGCTCTATTTCATGTCACCTTGTTTGTTAGGAAAGGGTTAATGAGAAGTCAGTAGAGGCTGCTTTAATTTAGGTATATATAATTCACTTAATGTTTGTTATCTCTCACCTTAATCACTAATTTCTTTTTAGTATACATCGTGTCTTAATTTTAATTCAACAAAGAATAAGTCAGAAACTGAGAAATATTGCTCTAAAAGCGAAATTATTGACTAAGATCAAAATAATAGTCTTAAACGGATAAGTTTCAGTGAAAGCACAGCTGACCAACAAACTATCTCCATCACTCTAATTATTATCAATTACCACTCTAATTAATTATCTCCATCACTCTAATTATTATCAATCATAACCAGAACCTGCCACTGACTTGACATGAACGCAAAATCAGTTTTTTGTGCAGGAAAAATCAAAAACCCGCACTTAAGTAAAGTATTTAATTCTATGATAGTGGAATACAAATCTGCGACATCTTACGACTTGATGTCCAGGATAGGGCCTGGTCAATCATCAAATCGATAGATACTACAGTTGGAAAATACAGCTGTTAACTAGTGTACCAACAATCTTATATGTTAGAGTTTTAAACTAATTACAACACTACAAATCTATTACATTTATTGAGGATTATGTAATGTAACGTGATGGAAATATTTTATTAAACGGGTCATATCCGGTCCAAACCCAGGATGCATAACGTGAAGAATTCGTTGTAACTTTGTATGAAAAGCATTAATACAACAAATTGTCACGTCTCAATGATAATTGCTTTATTTGCTAATTATATTTGAATTTATAACCGTTTAATTGTCTTATTCGGAAGAATCTAATAAAGAATAAAATAAAGAAATAAATACGTCTTGTTAAATAACCAACTAAGTAAAATCCTTTATCCCAACGACCCTAATTGTACTGGATCAAGGTGATACAGCCAGTAAGGTCGATAATGTAGGCATCCTACCTTACCAGACTTGTAGTGATAAGTCTAATTCTGGTGACCATCACTCTAAGATTGGTTATTATTTCCAAAAAGCTGGTTTTTCTCATTGGAACGATAAAAACGGTAATACTAATATGAAGTGGCCTTATTCTAAAATCCGTCCGCCGTGAACTATTGTGCATAAAATACCAGTATTTTACTGTTTCTTCAATAAGAAACTGAAAAAAAAATTGAAAACTTCTTTGTGAAGTTCAACCTGAAAATATCTAGTTCTAGTCCATTTTCTCAAGAAGACAGATTTAACCCTCTCTCTCCTCCCTAGACAGTACCCTGTTCCAACAACGTGTAAAGAACAGAAGTATTCCAGACAAGCCCCCAATAGTGGAAAAGGCGGTTCCTGTTGTAGCAACACAGACTATCAGTGAGGTTCAGACTGTTAGTGAGCCGGAGAATGATGTGCCTTTAGTCAGGTCAAAGACTATCAGCAATGTTCAGTCCACTCCTATTGCTCCAGGTAATTAAGTGTAATTAAGTGTAATTAAGTTAATTGAGGGGAATTTAGGGGCTCTGAGATAAAATTCCATAAAGTCATGATATTATTCATCTCCTTTTCACAATTAAATAAATAATACTATCAGCAAGTTACTATTACTAACTCCAGTGTATATCCATTATCCAACACATTTGAGACATTAAACTGTAACCCGTTGTAGGGCCGGATCTCTCAGAGTGGAGAGAAATGTTGGAGAAACACAAGCGGGAAACTTACAAAACAGAACTAGATCACGCCACCATACGAGACCTCTGGAACAAATACATCAAGGTTTGTACAACTAAACTACTAATTGCTTTTACATCTTTACATGTTCCTTCCTATTTTGTGCAAGATTCTAGGTATCTTAGAGTTTGAGAGTCTTAGGGTCTTTAGATGTTAAAAAGTCTAAGAAATTAGGAGTCTTACAGTCTGAAATTCTAAGAGTTCAGGACTCTCTGAGTCTCCGAGAGTCTATAGTGTCTCACCCCGATCCTACTATCCTACCATTAACAGTCCCATTAGGCATTAACCACGTGTAGTTAACTGCTCAGATACCATATCCTGGAGCATTCCCGAGCATTACAGTCTCAAAGTCGGGAAATAAGTTGTATTATTGTGGTTCAGATTGTGTGTATCACCACACCCATCCTCCTCTGTACCCACACCTCTGGTAGAGATTGAGCATGAAGCTTAAGAGCTCGTTAAACCGTTAATGGTGTCCCATTGTCTATATTTCAGACGATTATCTCAGACGAAACTGAAAGGTTTGACAGTTCGTCACGCGCCCTTAATACACCACTCTCATTGGCTGACGGATCTGCTGATGCATTGTGATTGGTTGAGCTGCTATCCTGGACCACGGAAAGGGAGTCGCACCTTGGTGTTCAGGATGTGATATTTCGCCTACTCATTGAACTATTTTAGAGATCCTGTCTTTTAGAGATCCTGTCAGACCCGGTTCAACCAGTAGACATTAGTTAACCACTACTCGTGACTAACACGTGATTACCATGTGACTGACAAAGGGCTGAGTTGAACGAGTATTCACCTCATCCTTTTTACTAATCTGTTGTTGAGTTAGGTTGGTTAAATGTTTCGTCTGCGATGTTTTAAATTTAACTTACTAAATTTAACGTTTTGAAGCTATACATAAGTTCCTTTATTGCTCTCCTCCCTTCCATTAATTTTATAATTTTCATTTTTGACACAACATGTAGCAATCATTGATAACGATATCGAACAGAGATCTATTACCGTCCACACTTTTATATCTTTTAACCGACTTACAATCCAACACACAATACTGATACTCTTTCAGAATAACTCACACTTCCTTCTCAAGCAGGAATTTAAAATATTTCAATAAATATAGTAGCTTTCCATTGACCGTGTTGCACGGTGCACAAGCATTAAGAATTTAACTAATTGCCACCGTGTACTATTTTATGCTATTGAGAGCTGCAACATTCACCGACCTGCAAGTCACACTCAATTGATCGTTGTGAGAACCATTACTTTGTTCCGCTGCCTAGAGCTGCAGAACCTCATGTTGTTCAGCAGCACACTTCGAAGCGTGCATTCTTTGAATACCATTAAACCGCTCCTTCATCAATTATATTATGCTAATGCTCGTTGCGTTACACTGGACACGCTCTATTAATTTCTGCCGCATTGAGAGCGTTCAGGGCCCGTCATTTGTCCCGCGACCTTCTCAAAGTGCCCTGCTAAACAGGGGTGTAGGAAGCGGGGGGGCAAGGGGGGCCATCGCCCCCCCCCCCCATGAAATCTGGGCAAGGGGCCAAAAAGGGCCAACTTTTTAATTTAGGTTTCTAAAAATTTTTGGGAACAAAATTTTTTTCCCGAAAATTTTATAAGTCAAAAATTTTGTAAGTCAAAATTTTTCAAAGTTTTTCTGGAAACTACTTTTGTTCATGTTTCATGCTACCCTGATCATTATGAGCCAAAAATATTTTTTTCGGTTTTCGAATTTCGATATACGATTTTGGACTCGAGGGTTCCCCTTTGTAATGCGATCTCGGAAGGCAGGCCTCCCCTTCGCAATATGAGCTCGGAAGCGGGAGCTCTGCTTTTAGAGGTACGTATCGAGAATGACTCGGACCGAAAATTTTCGAAAAGTCGAAGTTTCTCAAAGTTTTTCTGGAAATTACTTTTGTTCATGTTTCATGCTACCCTGAACATTCTGGGCCGAAAATATATTTTTGAAGTCCGTACCTACATTCGGAAGGTTGTGGATGTGATACTGATTGGTTTCATGTACTAATTATAGAAAACGTGATATTTGGCCCACAGATTTTAAGGAAAATACGCAAATTTGGTCCTCAAATTTAAAGGAAAATGCGCAATTTGACGCGAAGAACTGAAAAAATCGCGCTTTGTCGTGAGGCCAGGATCTGAAAAATCGCGATTTGTTGCGGAAACGTGAAAAAATCGCGATGCCACACATGCTGCAATTTCCTTTTATCCGACCTTACCCTCGAAATTCAGGCTTTGGCGCGAAGCGCCAAAAAAATTTAGAATTTGGCCCCCCATGAAGAAAATCATTCCTACACCCCTGCTGCTAAATCATATTAGTCAAAGTGCATCTACCCTTAGGGTAGGAAGAGTCACGCTGCCCTCATCACAGCTTGTGATTGGTTGGCACGTGGGGTTGTATAAGGGCTCTGATTGGATTATAATCAGAAGCTTTGTTGAGTCTTGCTGTAGCCTCTTCATCATCATTTCCTTCACTCAATACTCTCTGTCATGTACAATTGATCGACTCCACGCTGATTTATTGAGTCTTAATTACTATTTACTGGTAGAGATGTCACGGTGTTCTTATTTAGTGCACAGTTATTATAATGACAGCTTGTATTTCAAGAGATAGGTATTTTCCCAGGTTGCGGAAGCAGTAAATATACATTAGACACTCGTTGTATTTGGGTTTTGTATTCTTATCTTTCTCTTCCTCGTGTTTAATGTTTCAAATACCTTCAGCGATGTTAGTTTGCTTTATTTACTCACTTAGAAACTGTAAGTTGTATGCCTCACAGATCATCCTATTTTCCGAAGTTTTTTCATTTCCTAGATCTATTCACAGATTCATTGTTCGGTAGTTTGAGTCGAAATTTTGAAGTAGTTAAATTATTTTTAATGTTTTTCTTGTTTTACAGAGTCAGAGAGTTGAGACTGACAAACAGACAGACAAACTAAAACACGCGAGACAAATTAACAGAGCAATTGACCGACCAATCATTACAGACGGACAGACAAATAAACTTACTGCTGAATTAACAGACAGACAAAAAAACGAAGACGGACAAACAGACAACCGGACAAACGAACTGACAAACTCACAAAAGTCGGAAGAAAAGTCTATCATAACTTACATACCAGACCACGACAAAGAGCCAGAAACACACCCTGAATCACCCCAAACCAAACACCAAATCACTGAACTGATCATCTCGTCTCCAGGACCCACCATGGCACCTCCAGTTCTCTCAGAAATGACCTTCTCTGATCAAATCAGATATCTAGATAGTATCCTGCTCCAACTGGACCCCAAGTATTCTCCCCCTGAGTTGTCTCCAGTACACCCTCTCTACACCACTGTCATTAAGTCTCCAGATGAGATGGAGCAAGTCATCAGGAACTACGAGACGAGGAAGAGGAGAAGGATGGGGTCTGTGGGGTGCAGTGATACGAGGGGGTCCGCACATTCCAGAGGGTCTACACACTGCAGTGACTGTAAGAACCAAGAGGATGTTATTATCAGGTACCACAACAAGGGGGAATGTAAGCCGGAGCAGCAGAATAACAAGACCAGTTGGTGGAGTATCTCCTGCGAGGATGACAGTGCCCCCACCTCGGAGAGGTCCTCTGAAATAGAGGGGAAACTCAGGGAACTTAGGATCCAGCACTGTAACAAACTCAAGGAGTTTTGTGAGCGCAGAGCGGTGCTGAATGATCAGGTGATACCTGAGAAGAAGCGGCGGTCGTTGAGGAAGAGGTTAAGCTGCACTGTGCGTGCACTGCCCTGGTTTAGGGGTAAGAGTTGTAGAATGCAGTCTTCAGAGAAGAGGAATTGTGGCATGCAGTCTTCAGAGAAGAGAAGTTGTGGAATGCAGTCTTCAGAGAAGAGGAATTGCGGAATGCAGTCTTCAGAGAAGAGAAGTTGTGGAATGCAGTCTTCAGAGAAGAAGAGTTGTGCTAAGAAGGGTGTGTCAGCATCCTCCTCCAAGCCAGTGAGTTGGGATCTAGTAAACTCATTGTACAAGTTGAGAACGATCTATTAAATATCTGATAAGGGATCGTTCCTATACAACGTAACCCGTTTTCGCCCATATTAGATCCACACCCCCTCTCTGTTAGTCACTTTATACATACTATAGTATATATTATAATAGTTATTATGTAGAAATTACTTTTCCTAACCACCTCCTCCTATACTGGCTTACATAATATGGGAACAGTTCTTTATGGATAATATGATAAAATCAAATTAGGATTTAGGATGGCATGTAATGGGGTGAGAGACTATTGACTCATCGGATTATTACAAGCAATACGTTGTAATAATTAAGCCTGTAATTTATGCTTCACTTTCAGACGTCGGAGATTGACGAAGTTCTGAGTGAAGTCGACAAATTTGATATCAACAAAGCAAATGTGAGTATTAAATAATTAAGCTGTTTACTTATTGTTGGTATACTTACCTAGTGTCTCCTGGTAGTGTCACATTAATCAGAATCATCTAGTGTTTTATGAAGTTGTTGTGTGGTGTTTTGTTGCATTCTTGTCAAGGACTAACCTTAAAACAAAGGACTTCAGACGGATCACTCGGACCAAATCACAACCTGCTCACCTGAGCGAACGCAACATGTCACCTCAACACGGTACACTGCGGCGCAACGTTTCACCACAGCGCATGAGATTTCACTCCCGACCTGAAGAATCAGTGACACACCTTATTGAGTTTGTGCAGAATCTCGAAAACTATTCTAAAGAGTTTAAAGATGAAGAGCGTGATAGAGCTAGAACGCTGAGCAGAGATGAGGTGCCTAGTGGAAGTAGAGACAGACAACCTATTGAGACTTCACCGCCTCTCAGACACAGATTCAGATCCTCCGAGGACACTGAACTTCAAGATACAATCACACAACTTGATTGTTTAGAGTTCTCCTGGCTCCAACCTGAAAGCCTGGTTTACCAGCAGTTTGCACCTCATAAACCGGCACCTACACAGCAAGATTTCATAGGACCAGCTGACAGAGATGAGGGGCATGCTAAAAAACAAAACACTTTTTCTCGCACCGCTCCTGTTAGAGAATCTTGGAGAGACAAATTCAGGAGAAACTTGGCCACTTACACCGCTTACCAGTCTGAATCTGATGATTCGGCTCCGAGGAGAGTGGGAAGATTCCAAAACAAAACCCCGAGCAGATTTCCTGAGATGGTTAAAAGAGTGGTAGATTTGAACAAGCCAGGGACTAAACCTGACGGTATGACAGGACATAATATGACGATAAAACCGATCCTTATCTACACGAATGTTTGTAAGATTGTATTGTGTGTTTTGTTTTGCTTGTGATCATCTCGTCCTATCAGTAGAGATTGTAGTTGCTTACATGCTTAATTGTTGTGATATTTTCCATGAGTCCATGTTTTCATTGTCCTGTAGTTTTTGTAACTTACATGCTCGTTATTTTCGTCAAAGTTTGTGTACAATGGTGTAGTTGTCTGTTAAAATTTTCAGTATCATTAAGTATGTTCGTCGTTCGTGAGGAGAGGAATGACAAGCTATTTTAGGCGTGGTCTGTAATGACGTTTACTCTTCAGAAATTCAAGGAAAGTGTTGTTCAAACTGACGGTAACGATTCTCTCAACAGAAATCTCACTCTCGTTGGACACAAGCTGGTAAGTTATATGTTCGAGTGAAATTTTTAAAAGTTTTAATAAAATATGCACGAGAAACGAGTATTTCCAGAAAGATTACTAGAGATGTCCCACCGCTCCAGTTCATGAATTAAAATATGCTGCGCGCGTAACTTTTACTAATTTTCTTAAATTAAAGTACCCCAGCGTAAGCGCTAAACACATGGTTTTTGTGTCGCGTCGCGCGCCCCAATTATGTTACCCGCATGGTGCAGTGAGTGACAAACGGGGAACACTCGTTTGTTGTACAAATACGTGTTGAGATAATTTAAGTATAAACTGGGACTATTTATTTTCATCGGCTATTCTCCTAGCCTATCTTCACTGACTTTATTTACAGAGGCGCAGTGCAGACACTTTTAATAACCACGTACTATGCGGTTGCTGTGTCCAGGCTATCGGTACCGAGGCATCTATCCACCTTGAGGAGACCAATTTCACGTGAGTTACGATTTCCTCAACTATTATAATATCATATAAGAGAAGTGTGGTATATAGAGTTATATATTAACAATAATAATTCTTCAATTTACAATTTAATACCTCAAGAAAGCTTATTTTGAACCTCCAATATTAATGCAGGTATCACCAGAAGTGCTTCTCTTGCAAGCATTGTGAGGTTATGTTAATAGAAAACACAAAGCTTCTTTACAATGTATTTGTTGTGGATGGACTACCTTATTGTGATGTTTGCATCAAGAAGATGGGAATGATAAGATTAGGTGAGTAGTGGGATATCTTGACGTATTTTTAATATTAAATATTATACTCTCGGAGATTGCAAGGATCTTTAATTTACGTGTACAAATATATTTTGATAAAATGATAACCTAATCCACACAGTTAGATCTTTTTGGATTTTTGGTCACCTAAGAAAAAAAAGACACTCGAATTTCTGAAAAAATAACATCAAGATAAATATTGTTTTAAACTATATAATATTATTAAATCAACATCAAATTAAACCTTCACGGATGAATAATGAATTTAAAGTCGTCTAATTTAAAATATGATACCATTTTACGTATAAAACGTTTATTAACGATTTCCAATAATACCTTTCATTTCAGGAAAAGTTAAGAAGATGCCATTGAAAACGTCAGTATGAAATCATTGCTCTTAACGAAATTTTCGCTATAAATAAGGATAGCATCTATGATCTTACACCGTGCAAACCGGCCAACAGTCAACAGATGTCAATTGGAAAAGAAAAATAGGATCAAGATTAACATTTAACCTTCAAAACATAGCAACTCTCGTTCATACAATATGCGTAAAACAGGATTCTTTGAAACGTAAAGAATAAAGGGTTTCTTTTAATGTTGAGAAAATCGAAAGTTTTAAATCTAGAGATTGTCTTGTATAGAAATTTTGATCGATCATAAACATGATAAAGACCATGAATAATAATTTGGATGGTAATCCATTTGAGTCTGGATTATGTTGACTCCCTTATCAGTGAAGTTAGAGGTGAAGTTTGTTCCCTGAGCATATAAGAAACTTTATCTTGGAGGATAAATTGGTCTTTATCTACTTTTGCTGTTATCATTCTGCGGATTAGAGCTGTTATTCATTTTGTGCAGTTACCAATTGTATTTTACATGTACAGAATATTATTTTCATTCAGAACGTTATAAATGAAAAGCGTATTATTTTTTTGATTTCCAAGGCGAATACTGTAGAAATAATTGTGTCAAAATCACAAAACAAATAAACATTGTTGTCTCTTGTCACAACTTTAGGTTTAGACGGGTTCCTGCAAGTATTATTGTTCATTCACGATGTCAATCCTTCGCAGCTCGGCGTGGCATCTCGCCGATCTACCGAAGGTGGTTGCGAGAAAAATTATTTGTTTTTTAAACATACAAGTATCATTGATGTAATAGCAATGTGTTAGTGTCCGCTATGAATACCCATCATCTATAAATCTACATTTTTTGTTACTCCCTGTCTCACTGCACTGCTTCTGTGATATCTCAAACACTGTTCAGTTTTAAGGTAAACAGAAAGTAGAAACTCTCTGTAATCTAGCTGCAACTTACCTGGGGACCCCAGGCTTAATGTTCTTTAACCGATCGAAGATATGGCGGAATGACAGGCTGAGCGGCGCTCGGTAAGCTTTAACAACTAAGGTAATGCCCTACTCTGACGAATATTCAATTTCAAAGCCGAGCAGTGAGCACCCCGTACCCCCTCCCCCCATTGTCAACTTTCCTCAAGAACACCTGAACCTGCAGGTTAACTTCAGAACTTGAGGTCAACAACACAGATTAAACGAAACAGATTAAACGATCGATTTATGTGATCGAATAATGCCCACCTGTTTCCATTTACATGATTTACAATTTACATCATCGATTGATAATAATGCCCACCTGTTTCCATTTAGACTCTCCCTAATTCATTCTCCTGACTCGCAAATGACCCTTTCTTATTTCTGGAAGAGAGCGGATAATGACCTTTTCTTTGGAAGAGAGCGGATAATGCAGTTCTATAAAAACAATATAAATACTGCAGTTTTATAAGTACTTCGATTATAGTTGTTGCTCCACGGGAACCTGCTATCTTGGTTTACATGTAAGAGGCCATCTACTTAGGACTTCCGCCAAAATCTCGAATTTTCAGACTACCCCACTCCCCTTATCGGTTATCTGAATTTGTCCGAATTGTCAACAATTAAAAATAACCCTTTTTACCTTGTACAGGATGGAAACAACTACCTGAAAACCACCAGATTGGTTTAATATGAACTTCAACCACGCAGCTGATGTGACCTACGGGACTATCTGTTGTCTGTGCTTCGTTATCGGGACGGTCGGAAACATTGTGAGCTTTCTGTATTTTAAGGCTAAGAAAAGAGACATATCCAGCGTCATCTATTTGGTGATAACGGCAAATGACGTAGTCGTAAGTGTGATAGTAGTCCCCGTTGGAATTTCGTATTTTTCAGGAAGAAGTCCAGGTATCGTATTTGGTACGAGCCTATGCTGTAAAGCCTGGGCTTACTTGTGGGGAATAGCAGTTTCATATAGTATTTTCTTAGTGCTATGTTTGTCCATAAATAGGACAGTGTCACTGATAAGACCCTTCCAACAGCAAGAAAAAAGAAATCTGCTTATAGCTTTAGTATTGTACTTCTTGCTAATGTTGGCTATGAATATTGGACTCCATGCTCAAGAGGATATAGATGTATATTTCAACAGTCGGGCCCCACGCTGTGATTTCTATCTCAAACGAGGCGGGGATGTTTCTATCATCCTGCTATTCGTCATGAATTCAGTGAACATAGCTCCTGCGTTCGTAGTGGTAATCAGCTGTGTAATATCAACTGTTTTGCTGACAAGAAGAAATAATATAGCACAACAAAAAGAGCTGCAACTGTCTCGAAACAAGGCGACAGTAACGATTTTACTATTCGCTCTTGTGTATGCAGTGTGCAATGTTCCCCTTGTCATTGATTATATCTTACAAACACACGCCATACAGACTGGTAACGTGGAGTGGTACTCTAATTTGTACCAGTTTGACACACAAATGTACTACTATAACGCCAGATTTACTGTACTTGTAGCAGTGAACTCGGCAGCAAACCCAATTCTATACTTTTGGAGAATGCCTGCGCTGAGAGAATTCATCAGAGGGATATTGAGACTGAACGGAGAAAATAGGCCTATGGGGCCACCAAACAACGTTTGCCAGCTAGAGAGAGAACGGGCTAAAACAATAGTTCAGCACAGCCACATCAATATCATTATCACTCCAGATCTACCTGCAGCTGGAGCAATAGAGAGCAGGTTCTAATAAAACTTAAAAGACAACGCAGTTAAATTAAATTGAATTTAAACTGACAAATTTGTAAGCACAGACAGTTTAAGAAATTTTAAATATTTTTATCTTTACAATTTATCTTTATTACTTTTATTAAGTGATATCAACTTTCATACTTTATTAAAAGTACTAGAAAACCCGTGGTCACAGGGAGGAAACTAATAGTATTTTTTGTTAGTGAGTTTAAATCGCGTCAAAATATCCTACACAACCGAAGATACAGCCGATTAAAATGTTGCTCGCACTAAACACAACGTAATATCAACAAAACCGATAAAAATGCCGTTTTAACGATCTTTGCACGTGCACGTGCGTGTAACGAAACCGTAACCATGGTTACTTTGCAACCTTTTGCTTTTTGCCGAATTTGCACGTGGGCGGTCGTACATACATACAACAAAAATAATTTTCTGAATTATAGTAGAGACTAGAAAACCCGTGGTCACAGGGAGGAAGCTAATGTATTGTTTTTTGTATATTAGAGCTTTAGCCACAGGTAGGTTGGTCTGCACGGAGCCCCACAGTTTCAATTCCTTGTTTAACTAGCCGTACAGCAAGGATATCCACTGTGCTCACCAGGTTAGGCACATAACCAACACTACCCTGCTAAAGTTAGCTATATACTATGGTTTTCTCGAAAGTATTTCCTTGTATTTGACTTTCGTCAAGAAAGTACTCTTACTTTCGGTTCAGATGTTATATAAGCTAGCCTTTATGTGGTCCGCAGGGCGGAGGAACCGCCACACACTTCTCACCCAGCTACGAATACAATGTATTGTTTTTTGTATATTAGAGCTTTAGCCACAGGTAGGTTGGTCTGCACGGAGCCCCACAGTTTCAATTCCTTGTTTAACTAGCCGTACAGCAAGGATATCCACTGTGCTCACCAGGTTAGGCACATAACCAACACTACCCTGCTAAAGTTAGCTATATACTATGGTTTTCTCGAAAGTATTTCCTTGTATTTGACTTTCGTCATAATAGTATTTTTTGTTAGTAAGTTTAAATCGCGTCAAAAAATATCCTACACAACCGAAGATACAGCCAATTAAAATGTTGCTCGTACTAAACACAGCGTGATATCAACGAAACCGATCAAAATGCCGTTCTTACAATCTCTGCACGTGCACGTGCGTGTTACAATCCTCGTTACTATGGTTACTACGCAACTTCCTATTTCTCGTCTGATTTGCACGTGGGCGGTCGTACATACAGACAACAAAAACAATTCTTTGAATTATAGTAGAGATTATAGTATACTGTTCGCATGATTTACGTCCGCAAAAATCTAAAAAATGTAGCGAGATCAACCTATGCTGTGGATATCATGGCTGTTAGTGTTATCATGTTGCAGGTTGAGGAACTGCAACTGTATTTTGCATATTATTGTATAATATAGCATGTGTATTTTATGATTTCGCAAATTAGACATTTTTAGTTTTTGGCATTTAAAACACAGGAGGACCAAAGTGCAAAGAAACTGCTGCTAACTGCTGCTAACTGCTGCTGACTGCTGCAAATGGCGCACGCGCGACAGCAGCAGTTAGCAGCAGTTAGCAGCAGTCAGTAGCAGTTAGCAGCAGTTAGTAGTAATTAGCAACAGACAGCAGCAGTTAGCAGCAGTTTCTTTGCACTTTGGTCCTCCTGTGAAAAGTCACCCATTTTTACCCATATCTATAACAAAAGGGAGCGTGGGATGTTTGAATTTCACACAAAATGATGTTGTGATCAAGATTGATCCAATAATGCCAATTATCTTGTGGCGTGGCCTGGTATTTACTATTTTTTACAACTTGGCAAGGTTGATTGGGAAACCAAATCGGTGATCAGTCTCATACGTCATGATAACATTTCAACAAATCGTCACTAGAGAGTTAATGATTACTACGAGATTTAATCTTGTGAGACTGCTTCATATTCACTAGGACATAATGCAGGAACTGAAGGTTCATGTATCCAGCGAATTGTATTTCAATAGTACAATATCTTAATATCATAAATTAAGGCGTATTTAAAAAAAACAGATTATCTTAAAGTTAAGGTGTCAAAACTTTGTTGTGATTTACTCGGCTGGGTCTTCATGATAAAGACCCAGATAGAGTTTATCTATTTTTTCAGTTATCAACTTTTGGACTTGTATATTAACATATTAGAGCTGTCATTAACATATTTGATCAGCTGTCATTATTGTTACCAATTTTAATTTAATAGTACAATATCTTAATATCATAAAGGAAAGGCGTATTATTTTGTCGTTCAACATGGTCTAATCTTGCACAGACTTGGCTTGGACCAATAAAATGCAGAGCATATACGGTAATAGTGCATTTTTGCGCCCATTGATCGTCAATAAGCAGTGGTGTGGCAGAAAATGATTGTTCAAAGACTTATTGTAGGCACATATTTATTGGGTCCTTAGTCTTGGACAATATTTCATTCTTGTGCAGCATCGTGGTTCTGTCTTGCTTTTAAACCTTCAGCAAAGACAAGACCCGACATCGATTCGCCCAACTGGGATGACTAATTCAAACCATGTTGTTCATTCGCCCTTAATTTCTTACATTTCGGGAATGTACAAACTGATCCTTGCACAAAGCAGCGTATGTTTGTTAAACCTTCTACTAAATCAAAGATAAATAGATCAGAGTAGAGATGCTTATTATCAAAATTATATGAGTAAAGGACTATTTAAATATGAATTACTGCTGTCCGTAATGACTTTTATAACTTTAATAAGAAATTGTAAACGGAAAAATCGACCAACGATTCTATCAAATTAAACCACAATTGAACAATAAAACTCGATGCTCATCCAATCCTGTTCAAATACCACCCATCACGTGCCTTATAATTGCGTTCAAGTTATCCAGAGACC